GGTTTTTCTTGTGTTTCCGTGGACGTTGGAAGAGGCTATAAGAATAGGGCTGCCTTCGGAGAGAATGTAAGGGAAATTTGCTTGTATGCATGTTACACGTGGGGGAAATCTCGAAAACGGCCATGCAGCCAGCCCGTTCGTCTGGAATCGAACCTAGGTCAAATTACCAGTGTTCAGTGACTTTAAGGCTCAGCCGCTGGTTGGCGGTTTTGTTTAAAAAGAAGATAGATTTAATCTTATGAGTTCATATTTACTCCTATTATGTAGTATAGTACCTTTGAATTTATTGAGAAACGTAATGTTGAGCGTTTGAAACTAAAAATTTTTTCCAAGGCAATTTTCCCTAATTTTTATTGAAAACATTGTTTACTTTGAAGTATTTAGTTTGGCTAAGGTTTTGCTAACTTTTGTATCAGTGTGTTCTGCAAGCTTAACGGAATAAAATATAGCAAAAAGAATGTGAAATGAGCTTCGAAACCATGGTTTCATATTGCATGTAACATAAACAGACATTGCATATGACATAAACAAACATTGTTTCAGTCAACGGTGATTAAGATTTTAATGTATGTATCTTAAGGGTTATAAAAGTACGTTGCTGAATTCGAATTTTAAGTTAATTCTTTAAAAAGTCATCATATCTTCAGTTCTTAACTAACATTTTGCAACAACTATTATTTCACACCAGAAGTGTCACAAACACAATAATTTTAACTGCCAAATCTTCTAACTCTACTTTTACTCTAGAGTATTATGTGCGATAAAAACAAATTTTCATAGTTATGATATTTGCAGTCACGTATTCTAGAACGTAATCCTAATACGTGTATATATATATATATATCATAATAAAAGCAAAGGAAATAACGGAGCAGTGTAGATGCGTAGTTATCCTATATTGAAGAGGAAGTAATCTGATTGCGTCGTAAGCTAATGTGTTGACTTCGTAAATAGAACTTGGCAGTCGAAGCAGTTTTAATTCCATTTTTATTTCCAATTGATATTTGTGGCCACAATCACTTGGCACTCTAGTCGTGCCTTTCCACAGAAGATTTACATTTTTGATATTGTTGAGATAGAAAGCAAGCCAGCGAAATTACATCTTAGCAGAGTAGAGGGCAAAAGCTGAAGTGCGTAGTTATGAAAGATGGAAGCAAGCGAAGGGAAAAGTTTCAGTTTGCAATTTGGTGATTGGTCGAGAGGGATCTGCATTAACGGTTACGTAAGATCGCATGATTAATTTGAATGACGCAATGCAGATAAGTTATTACGATTTTAGAATAGAGAGGAAGAATTAATGTTTATAGTTATAATTCTGATTCATATATTTTTATCTTACACACATATATATATATATATATATAATTCGAGCATCTAAAATATTTAAATATTTTTACATCAGTTTATGAAAAAAAATGAATACAGAAACTGACACTGGAATTTTTAGAATTGATATTCTTTTTGGCATGAGTTTTAACAGCTTTTTTGCACTGAAAAATTTAGTTTTACAATTGGCTAACAGCAGATACCGTTTCTATTTAAAGAGAAAACTAGGGTACTTCTATAATTTTTTATATTTAAAATTTTTGTATGCATTTTAATAGTTAATTTTTCTTTGAGGTGCTACACTATGATTACAGTGTTCAGTTATAGAGTACAAGTTTTAGTTTTGCAAATTTTTCACCTCCCCTTTCCGAAAATCAGGTGATACATTCAGACATCGATACACGTGCACTGAACTTGCGACGAATGGCATCCCCCCCAGGCTGCGAATAGTTTCTTGGTAGCTGAATGACTCATCGACGCATCCCACATGCAAATTTTGGATGAAGGGAAGTGTTTGCATAACCAGCTTAAGAGTGTATAAGTCCAAACCAATCTTCGAACTTTCGCACTTCGTAAAATATATTTAGACTTTATTGATAAGATAAAAAAAAAAAAAAAAAAAAAAAAAAAAAAAACGTATATAACTGCAGCTATTTCGAGGGCAAGGAATGCTGTTGGAGAAATGAGTAAGTCGAAAAGTATTTCTGATTTTGTTACTTCCACCAAACGTACATTTCATCTAAGCAACAGACGCAAGAATTTTAAATCCACCTGCAAAGCAACAGTTGATAAGAAATTCCATAAGCCCTGTACTCGTGCTTCCGAAATTTCAGTTCCTGATGACTTCTCTCCTATGCATGAGCCGAAGAGATTCAGCAAAAATTTCAGTTTCAAGCTCATTCAAGATTTAGGACTCTCAAAATTCCACTTCAGATTTTTAGATACTCTTAATATCAGTTCATCCCTGCTAAAACTTCAGTATGCATTCGATTTAGTGAAAACCTTAGAAAGTGAAATGCAATTTTTTGAAATTAGAGTTCCTCGTTGATGATGGCGGGAAGAAGTCATTTGATTTCTCTCTCTCTCCAAATTCGTCGAGCAAATGGCGAACAGATTATTTCAGCAGATGGCACCGCTTGCATACGATAGTATATTTTCATTTTCGTCCCTATGATACGATAGTATGTTTTCATTTTCGTCCTTTGCGTGTTGAACGGCACCTTCTTTGCAGAATTCGTTGCTGATGCCCTTCTTTAAGCTACCCGATACTGACATCGACTTCCAGTTTAGACAACTGCTACAGGGTAAAACGCCTAATTTTTTTTCTCTTCACAGATTGTTCTCGCGTGGAGGATTTCACCATTCGGACATTTCACACAACAGGCCCTTTATTGGATTTCCTCAGGCTCTGGTAAGAGCAGTGCAGGATTTACGTATAAGCTGCACAAGCTATAGCTTAGGGCCTCCGCTTTCTTCGGGGCCTCCCAAGAAAGTCTAGATATCCGAAAATCATATTTGGCACCGACATACAATATCTGGACTTATAAAGGGCCCCATAGCTCAAATAGCATAGGGTCTTATAAAGTCTAAATCCAGCCTTGGGTGAGAACAGGAAAATCTTTCCCGCTAAAATCCAAAATATATCAAAGTAAAGAGCTTTCGCAGCACCAGTGACCAGTGGTACAGTTTTATCTTCAGCGAGTGAGACTGTGTATCGGACATTCTAAACATATTCTCATTTTAAAATTATTTTGCAATATTGCTGTTGAACTGAATTTCATAGTTTAAGTGCGAAGAACATGATATTTAATAAACAAAGGTAACCCACAAAGCGTTGAAAAAAGGCCCCTTTGGGCAGGCGTAATGTAAAATCCGAAATCTTTCAGATTTTTTTTTTTTTTAATTTTAAAGGACCATAATAAATCCTCGTTCAGTTGTTTGTGCAGTTTATCTTATCTAACATACTTCCTGTTTAAAATGGAGCATATGGGGAAGCAGATCGTTTCTTGCCACCACAAACTTAGAGGTTACAATTCTACTTGTGCTTACTCTTTTAGTTGCAGAGGTTAATTATCCTATTCTTGCCGATGTAGCGCGAATAAGCTATGTGTATCGTTTGAAAATGAAATCTTTTTGTTTTGGGCGGGTACTCTTTGTGGAAATCGCATTCAAAATAGCATCTAATAGGTTATTATTATCTCTGCCTCTTACCCCCTCCCGAAGGGATTGATGGAAGTGATCCTCTTGGGTGCTGGTTAGGATCTGTACCTGGACAGCTTCGGCACCGGAGGAATAAAATCAGGCTTCACAGGACAAGAACCATCGTTTATTCGGTGGTAAGTTCAGGGACCATACCTGTACCATATCTGCTACTGTTTTGTCTGCCCCTTAATTGTAGGGACGGTACATATATGACATTTACTGCTGTGTTTGGGAAGAGCTGCGTTACTGTAGTTGTGCATATCCTAATTTGATATTTATGGCTCCATCGGTTGACTCGGGCAGTTTGATGTGGTCTTGGCGACCAGTTGGCGCCTGGTTGCCCTGATACTGTGTATTGCATACTCGGCTTTGCTGTCTTACTACTGAGGGCGCTGAGTAAATCAATTCTTTCTTCGTTTTCACGGTGTATCCAAGTTCACTTGTGATTTCAGTCGCCATCTTAGGATTGGGCACAGTGAGACTTTCGTGACACTGCTCTTACTCGCAGGGGTAGAGATGTAGTCTTTGATTTCTATTTACAACTTTCAACAAGGCTTTGTTATGGCTTTCCGGGTTGATTGACAGGATCGCGACCCCTTACATCGCTTTTAGAGGTGAAGCGTTAATCTTGTAAGGGCAACCACCAGATTTGGAGCTTCGTTCTCTAGCGCTGTGTATATATATGCAATATATTCAGGAGCAGAAACAAACTTAGAAGTAATGACGAGCAGAATTTGAAGGCTAAGGCAGATTAATTCTTCAGTTTTATTTTCAGCAACATATAGCGGCTACACACAAGTCGACACATTAAATGTGCCTATTCCAAAATACTTACATTTTTGATAACTTTGTAGCAAGAAAGCAGCAGCAGACAGACAGCAGTCTAGCTAGGCCAAAGCGTGGAAAGCAAATGCGTAATGTTCAGGATGAAATCTTAAGTCAAACTGAGTTAGTTTTGGTTCTCAAAGCATTCTGATTAGATAGTTAATATTGCTCTAAACTTACTATTGGCTGGTTGAGTTTTAGTTCCATTTACATCATTATAATTACGTAAGAATCATATGACATAGAATAGTCTCGAAATGACGCAGTGCAGAGAGGAGTTACTATTTTTAGAATAGAGAAGGGAAATTTAGGTTGCTAATTTAATCTTTTATATATTCTTTATTTTTCTTACATATATATATATGCATATATATATGTATGTATGTATGTATGTATGTATATATATATATATGTATATATACATATGTATGTATGTATGTATGTATATATATAGTTCGTCATGAAAATTAAAAGAAAAAGAAAAGAAATAAAAATTTTATTTATGTAAATCTGAGGCTATTCGGGTTGCCGGTTGCTAGCAAGAATTAAAAGCCATCGGCGATGTATCGGCGCGTACCAAGTACTAATTTCTTTGGATCATTTCTTATTTTATTTGATAGAAGATGGAAAAAAAAAACGAAACAAAATTTATAAAAAGACATTTTATTGAATGCTTTTGTCAAAAAAAGATTACATAAACATAAATTGTAAAAGCATTCGGCTAGATTTAATTACGATAGACAAGTGGTGGGAATTGTGGAATTGGTGAGGATTTTCACAGTCATACGAAATAATTCAAATATTTTCATATGAAGATGATAGTTGAAATTCATGATAAAATGCATACAAAAAGAGCACCAGTTGAATAAACTTTAGTTTGATCATCTATAAATTTGATGCTCGTACATCATTACACAACTATATTTTGATATTTTTTATTACCTAAAATAAAAATATGAATAGTTAAATACTGTTTGAAATTTAGCGGTAAAAGGAGCATTGAGATTAACATTTTTATCAAAACTCACATTTAAAACACTAGTTTTGAAAGCTACAATGCTCAATAAAGTAAAAACGAAGCCCACAGATGGCAGCACTGGGAAAATTAAATTTCAGAACATCGTCAATAGATGGCAGCACACTAATATACAAAGCAAAAGCGTGTAAAGACTTTTTTTTTCTTTTTTTCTTTTTTTTTTTTTTCAACAAACACATTTAAGATCTTTTCCTTGTATTTTTATATTTAACTTCAACAACAATATCATTTTCAATTTACACTTCAAAACACAGCATAAATATAAATAAATATAAAACTGAAAAAATAAATGTAAGTTTTAGATAACTGACAAAGATTAAATGCGCTACCATTTTTTTAAACAAACAAGATCAAATTTAAAGTGAAAACAGACTTTATATACACAAATTATCTATCGAATTGCATCTACAGCTATAGTAATTTCACATTTGAAACAGCTTTACAAAGTTTATGAACACAAGTTTCAATTTCGCCATTACATTTCTGAAATTGTTATGAGTTTTTTAACCATTCCGAAAAATAATCTTACATATGTAAAAAACTGTAAAACAAAAAGGTAGAAAGTAAACAGTTGTAAAACATCACACATACATATCACAAGAATAACTTTCTAAGCAGTATGCATACAAGATGTCACCTCCAACGACTATCAAAATAAATCGAGACTTTCTTAGTTCAGTTTACTAAAAAAAAACTCATCCAGACTGTTTCACAGGTATATTTTAGATCCTCAGTTTGAAAACTGATTGTGAGATTATAAAGCTAAAATTTGAAACAATAATTAATTTCCTAAAATGCCAATAGATGGCAGAACAGTGCCATTATTTAAAAAAAAAACTTTTTTTCTAAAAGCGAACAGTATGAAGCATAAAGTTTTATAATACTTTGAACAATACAAATTTATTAATAATAATTGGCACTATGTTAAATGTAACCTTATCATTAATTATGCTATACGTACCTTGGTCGGTACATGTGTTTAATGAAACAACATACAATCATTCTTTTCCCCATTCTAAATTTTTTAGCAAAAAAAGAAAATTTAAAAAGCATAATTACTAATTTTAACCATGAAAAGTAGTTTAATTTTAAGGAAGTTTATTGGTCATCGGCCATGAATAAATTAGTGAAAATTTTAAGATAAAGACTTTTAGAAAGAGTAAATTTATTATTTGACTTATCAGACCTTTTTTACAAAACACAGCATTTATGAAATGCAATTTTTATTTACTTCACACTTAAAAATATAATTAAAAAATTAATAACAATATACGACAAGCAAAGATAATTTTTACAATTTCTTATCCTTCTTTTTTTCATTCCTGCCCAATTTCAACATATATAATTCATTTTAATACGTTACTTAATTTTCTTCAGAATCTCGTATATAATATTAGAATAAACATATAAATATATTTAAAAAAAAACTTATAAAGAGGATTAATCCATATTAAAGTTGTTTCACGAAACTAATTCAAACATACTTTTAAAATTTTAATATTATTAAACACTCACTAGTTCCTTTAAGTCTTGGAAAAATACATGAAAATTTAGGTGCCGAAGATCATATCCTTAATACAGCGAAGAGTAGTTTACCAGCTAAGACTCTCACAATATGCTCCACACACTATAACACACATATAACATTTTTCAAAGCAAATGTGCAATAATCCTCAACTTCATGTGCAGTTTTTAGGCTATTATCACTGCTCTAGTCTCTTTTAGTTTTCCTATAAAGAAGATAATGTTTTTTGTGTCGTCGAATTTCAGGTGCAATATCCATACTGCCACTTTTTGGGGGGTAATTGTGATTTGTTAATTGTGTAATGTCATCACCAAGCGTCTGTGTACCGTATATCACATTCTTGTAAGGCTGGTAATTTTTGCTGAGGAAAGAGAAAAAGAAAAATTAGTAAGTGAATTACACTTAGCTAATTAAATTTAAAAATTAAAAATGCAGAAATCAGCAGAGAACATCAGAGAAGTCCCTATACATTTGACTTAAACAGGGCTTAGTCTTTATCATATTAAATTAGTATTATGATCCATTAAAAATTACTCGTGAAAACAACGCGAAGAAAACAACTCAAGGGAAAAACGTTGCGGTAAAAAATATCGTGGGAGAAAATAAAGCGTAGCAAAAACTCGGCAGGTTTAAAATATCATGTTAAAAAGTAAAGCATTTAAAAATCTTTATGATAATATCGCAGACATGCGTTTTCTGACTATAAGAATTTAAGTGAATTTTCCTACAAAAGGTTTGCAAGCACAAGAAGAAATAAGAAATATTTATACCCTTTATATTTTGTTATTGGAAAAGAAGGAAACTTAAGCACACAAAAATAGAAAATGAGTAGAAAATTAATGTTCCATAGAGTAGTTAACATAATTTTAAGCTTAAGCACTATTTTTTTATTAATTTCCAAATTTTGAATCTTTAAACTTCCTTCTTGCTTTGTCAGTAAGAATTTGTTAGTTAATACAAGAATATGAAATATAAAGATAAAAATATTCCTATTTTTCATTGTACTTACGAATCGTTACGCAAAATTCACGAAAGTCAAAAAACACATGTCTGCGATGATTTGTAGGTGTCTATTTTTACCATGATACACATGGCAATGCTATGACAATGTTTTAATACTACGAAATTTTTCTAGCTGATTTATTTTCTACCACGATTTTTTTTTTTTTTTTTTTGTTTGTTTTCTTTCTTCCCACGATGTTTTTCTCTTTGCGGTGTTTTCTCTGCGAAATTTCCGTTCGCGATGTTTTCAGCAGACATCCCTAATAAACTAGAATTAGCATTTAAAACAAAAGAGAGAGAGAGAAAGAGAGAATAAAATGTAACTTTTTTTTGAAGAATTTTAAGGTTTATTTTAGTCAGCACATTATTTTGATGTTAATTTTTTTTCTGTACCTTCTATTTTTTCCGTTATCTTCAATCGAAGACAAACAGTTGAAATAACGAGCAAAACTGTAATTGACAGCAACAGAGCTGTGGCCACCCACCAGAAAGTTGTTTATTCCTGAAAGGTTCATGCCCCTCCCTTTTACGGCTGAGCGGATAAGACCGCTGAACACTGATCGTTTAATTCAGCTTAAAATGCTGGAGCATGGGCTTATTGTAATGAAGTTTTCATGGTTTTCCCTATGACGTGCGAAAACGTGCCCGATTCACTTAGGTGTTCGATGAAGACATTTCATCCCCATAAGCAAGTGGCTTTAGAGTGCCTTGCCATAATCTAATACATTCAATCCAGTTCAGTTCTGAGATGTTCATGTGTATACCGTTCTCCGTTTATATGAATGATTTTATATTAGGTAGCTCGCAGGATTAGAAAAGGCGTACAATGTTATCTTCTGTGTTGTACGTATTTAAATATATAAATTTCTGCATTCCCATAAATAGCGGAGGATAAATTTTGTACATTTTAGTCGTATCACAAGACGTAGTTTTTAGATAACTTTTAACTGTTATTCTGGTTCTTGGAGTTGAGACATAAAGTGCGAAAGGAGATGTTCGTATAAGCACGAAAGATTAAACAGATGTAGTTTAAATATTAATTAGATTAAACAAATTAGGTTTAACATCTAAATTCAAGTTCATTCGTTGAACTTGAATTAATCATGAATTAAGAGGACGTCCGGAATTTTTACCTTTTGCTTTGATATTAAGCAAAATTATATATAAATTTAATCTAATCTAAAATAGAAATAAATATGATATAATCTAATCATTATCGATTTCATATTTTGTCAGACATTACAGAATTTTTGATTAAGAAACTCAATGATTTCAAAGCGAGGAATGGCAATACTGCATGAAAAAAAAAAAAAAAAATCTCCAGCGCGCGAGATTGTGTATCGGAAATTCTAAAGATATTGTCATTTTAAAATTATTTTGCGATACTGCTGTTAAACTGAAATTTATGGTTTAAGTACGAAGAACATGATATTTAATAAATAAAGGTTAAAGAAATTACATTACGCCCAAATGGGCGTAATGTAAAATCTGAAGGCTTTCAGACTTTTATGTTTGAATTTGTTTTTATTTATTTTTTTCATCAAACCTGTTAGTGGGAAATATTACACGAATCACTAATTTTTCCTTATATTCCTTCCTAAAAACTTAAGCTGAGGTAATATAAAAATGAAGGTGCAGACATTTCATGACTATACGCAATAAATCATAAGAGAGAACAAATGCATTGGGTGAATATTGTTATTTTTGTTAAGGCTAGCTTCTCATATTATTATAATTGTATTTACTTTTGTTTGAATTAAATGCTAAAAATGGCATACTAACACGAAATACAAAAAGCCACTTTTTTCCTACTTCCGTAGTATAACAAACAATTATACAATTATTACAAGGGAATAGAAAAGCTTTTGTCATCATTACTAAGAAAAGTAATCTGACGCCGCACTTCCTACTATTCCTTCGGACTGCAATTAGATCCTGTTTTATATCAAGATCGAAATAAGAAAAAGGCAAGATCTAATCAATCGAAAAGGATATAAAAAGATGAATGATAGCATTTTTATGCTACTATCCGAATAACTTTTATTATATTAGCAAATGCCATTAAGCTTTGACCTCTTTGATAGTTTTAATCAGCTTTTCATCGGACAGAGAGGTACATAAGTGCTTTTATTGGCTTTTTTGTTTGTTTCTGAGTTTTCTAATTTGGGTTAAGTATAGCAGATTCTTATTTATTCGAATTAATAACGACTGCCTAATAATTCTAATTATCGAAAATATGCGAGTAATCCTTTCCTTTTACAGCAGAGATTTTTCAGGCCTTCAAATTTTATTCGCATTAACGAGTATGTCTCCCCTCCCACGAAGTTCGTTCCAAAGACTTACACATTTTTAGATTGTAATTCTAATTAAATTAGATTAATTTTATAAAACTCTATTTTTACTTGGAAGAAATGATAGTTTTCATATCCAATTAATATTTTTATTAAACACATAATGCTTACAGGAATAATATACAAAAATATGTATCTACACACACATTTGTATTCAAAGTTAAGAGATTAAACACGATTCTTCGAATTTCGCAAAAAATACAGGCGAAAATTTAATGAAGTTTAATATGGATACAAATTAATACAAGAAGGCAATTTACATCAGACAACAATGAAAGTAACCAATCATGATGCTGCAACAGAAAAGTCTTAAAATAACAGAATTCATTCAACAGGAAATGTCTAACAATAAAGTTGCAAGAAGATATTTAAAATTATAATAATAGGGCATATAGTCACCTCTAACAGAATTCTAGTCGTACAGCGAGTCTTCGTATTACCAACAACAGTGTTCACAACAACAGTGTCTCGTTAATAAAGCGACCATTGCTGTTCATTCCTGTACCAAAGCAATTTTAAACTCTTTGGAAGGTTCTTAGAGGTGTTAGCAAACTGCAGTTGCTCTCTCAAGTGCATTTCAGATACGCTCAGTCGCATCTACGGCCGAATAACGTTGTAGTAAAGATAATCGTCCAATACACAAATCCTACGTAAATGAGCGCTAACATTAACAGACAGTAATTGAGAGCCAACAGCATGCCTCAAAAATTAACATATAGGACACTAAGACCTCCTCTTTACCTTAGAACAGTCGAGGAGCCTCTGGCAAAGATTTATGTAGTCACCCAACATACCAGCCGGGACCATGACATTTCCATCGTCAATATAGTTCATTTCCTTGTTGTGTGCGAAAGTTAATATTGCTTTCAATTAAAGTTAGGTAAATAAAGGTAAATATTGCTTTAAATTAAGAAAATATTTATGCTATAACTTCAGTATAAATAGCAGGGCCGTATTAAGACTTTTGCAGACTAAGCACTTAAAAGACTTTATAGTGCCCCCACATTACATTCACATACATTTATTCTAGTTTTTCCCTCTCTCAGCCTTAGTTTAACTGTACCACATATTCCATAGTTTGATTTGGTTTGTTTTAGTTTATTATGGCAAAGCACACTATCTATTGGGCTATCAGCCTAAGGGCCTTCGCGAAAGAAGTTCTAAGGAAAACTGGCTCGTATACACGTCATACATGGAGAAAACCACGAAAACGCCGATGCGCCTGGATTCGAACTCAGATATGTCCGTTTGGTTTCGTTTATTTAATTCTGGCAAAGTACGCGAGGGCTATCTTCCTAAAGGAAGGGATGCCTTCGTGGAGGGTTTTATAAGGGAAACCTGCTCTTATAAACGTTACACATAGGGAAAACCACGAAAAGGCCCATTCAGCCAGCCCGTTCGCCTGGAATCGAACATAGGTCGGAAATACCAGTGTTCAATGTTCCATTTACCACTTGGCCGCTGGTGGGCTGAATCGCGGCAGGAACTACCGGTGTTCAGCGATTTTACCGTTCAACCGCTGGTGTGCTCTTATTCCATGATAAAACTGGTAGTGAATATTTTTTATGCTACCCCCTTTCTCGAGTCCCTAAGTATCTTTCTGGGGGGTCTCTTTTCCTAGATGCCCTAAGCAAGTGCTTATTTCGTTTAATGGTTTATCCAGTTCTGATAAATAGTAATAAGTTTAAATAAGAAAATCATCGATATCATAATGGACAACATCTGCCAAATTTCAATAGAATACGGAACGTTAAAAGAAACTCTGATGTCAGACAGCAGACACGAAACTTAATTTAGAAACTGAAGTATACAGTGAAACAAGTAAGGCATTGCTTACTTGAAATTTAGATCACTACTACCAACAAATCTACTAAATTGCTTTCTTTGTAGCAACAATGATAACATAATTTGGTTCAAAATATACTTCATTTCTAATTTTCAAGGGTCTGAATATAATTCATAATGATGTGACTAATCCCGAAGTGTTAAGTTTCGTCACGCTTTTCTTTGTCTTTATAACTGCACGTAGTGGTGTCTTAATCAAGCAAACATTCTACCATCCTCAACTAAAACAAGTGTTTGCTATGAAATATATATATTAAACAATAATGAGTTAATGCTTATAACTTAAGACAAAATTATAACACAGCAAAGAATCCTTATTGCTTTCCACAGTTTTATAAAGAATAAGTATCCTGTTGGCTTCAGTATGTAAAATATCAATGCTTATAGAACACTGTCAAAATTCTTGTTCTTCTTAGGCAATGGCGATAATACATCGGATCTGTTATATTTTACCTAATCCGTTTAAAAGTAACAGATTTTCAATACAGGGACCGTTTAGCAGCTTTGATTGACAGGAACCAGAAGCAGTGACGCAGGAAACAGGAATTTAAAGCACCTTAGCTCCGAATACAGTTCTCTGCTTACGGCTGCTCTCGCTTAAGAAGTAAAGCTTACAACACGCCATTTCTCAGCGCTGCGCAAAGTAGGAAATGCAAATTTCCAACAAAAAGAAACAGAATTCTCTCAAATCTTCATCCTTGGTACTTTCCTTGGTACAAAAGCTTTGAGGACTTCGCTGCATCCGCTGGATTTATGGATAATCTGATCTGATGGATCTTACTAATGTTAGATGAATTTATGGATTTATTTTACTCGAGCAATGGATAATAAATTTATGGATTTATTTTACACAAGCAAAGCTTAATTATTTGTGTTTGAATAATCTATTTAAGATTAAACAATGCTGATATGATACGTAAACCAAAGAGAACCCAAGAGGTCCTTACCCAAGAGAACAAAAGATGGATAATGACAAGATACTAAAAATTGTTTTGCTATTATTTTATGCACATCGTCTCCACTACGTTCTTACCCCTCTTTTACTTTCGATTTAATTATTCACGGATATATATTTACAGTTCCAAAAACGTTTTGAATGATGCAAATATTCCTGTTTTGACATTTTTAAATTTAATGAAATCGATTTTGTAAAGACTGCAAAATTTGTTTTTGTTATAAAAATAAAAACACAAAACGTTTGACTCCCTTACGATAAAAAGGAATCGAGAATATTTGATTTTAAAATCGAGATTCATATTGAGGCGGTAGACAAATTGAAGAGCGAAATGCTTGCATTTGTATATAACTTAAAATAAAGTACTGTTTAAAAAAATGTCTATGATGTTAAGAGATTACGTGACGAAAACTTTTATGCAGGTTTTTGTGAAACTTATTGATCAATATAACGTTTCTAAAAATTTAAATCTTCTTCACAAGATTTATATTGAGTTCGTTTTCCAGAAATCTCTCTCAAACTTCATTATTAGAACATTCAAAAACGCAATAAAACAACCCAGAAATAAATATCTGTAATTCTTATGCAATGATACTGTGAATGTTAAACAACTAGTGCTCCATTTATCTGTCCATGAAGAACATTTCATTATATTTAATTTTACGTTTTCAACTATGATTTTCACGTCTGATAATATGTGCAGGAAATATAGACTTTCATTTCTAGTTTCTTCCTAAACATCATCTTTTTAGTCCAAAGGGATTTGAATCCCGAAGGACTATTAGTTTCGTTTTGGCATTTTGCGTCGGACTCATAAATGTCGGTTCACTTTTCAAACTGTTGCCACAAAATGTTAGAGTCCTGCATTATATTTGAAGAAATTAAATAATGAAAAATCTGCATAAATGTATGTATATTTCTCGTATTGTGATAAAACAACGGTACATAGAGTCATCGAATTTTGATAACGTAATCCTCCAACGAATATGAGCATGTGGAAGACCAAATTTGAAATTTGAAATTTGTTTATGATCGATTTCCTATTTTTAAAACTTTGACGAATTTTTGATTAACAAACTCAATGATTTCAAAGCGAGCAATGGCAACGTTGTGCAGAAAAAACATTTTATATCTCAGCGCGTGAGTCTCTGTATCGGAAATTCTAAAGATATGTTCGTCGTTTTTAAAAAATCTATTTTGCGATATTGCTGTTGCACTGGATCTTATGGTTTAAGTGCGAGGAACATGATATTTAATAAAGAAAGGTAACACACAAAATGTTAAAAAACGCCCCTTTGGACGTAATTTAAAATCTGAAACATTTCAGATTTTTTTTTATTTATTTATTTTTTTAAATAACACGTTCCATTATCTTCATTTTGTTTCATGGAACCAATTGCTTAATTGATGGGATTAACGATATACCTTTTGTTCGTATAAATGGAGATTCCATGCTACGAAGAACGTGAGTGGAATAAATATATCTAAAACTAATTAATTTAAGTACCCTTTTGATTATTAACTACGTAGTTTCTTTAGAGAGGGAAAGCTTGTTTTGGTTAAAGCTAGTTTCTTTGGTAGAAACGAAACCACGTATTAGGGGTAGTTACTTCGATTTCATTTTGAAGGGATGCTTCATACTAGATAGTTTTTAGGAAATAAAATTTATTTTATACTTAAAAAATGTAACTTACTGATGGATTAAAAGTAAATTTGTTTAGATGCTTCTTAGCATAAAAAATTTTCATTGAAAATACATCCTGATTTTATTGCTCAGCTAAAGTTTTTTACCACATAATACATTAGTAGAAAAAAACCAACCCTCGAAAAACAAGTTTGCGACCTTCAAAAAGCACAAGATAGAGAGAGAGATTTAAAAAACGTTCCAGAACTATTATAAATAACACGTTATAAATGCTCTATTAACTAATATCGTAAGCATATACCCAACAAATTCCTTGATCAGGTTTGTTACACATCAGATTTAAATTTGTTGAGCTAAATTATAACGAACACTCGTTGTTATTCGAGTTAGCTGTATCTTTAAATCAAGTAATCAGACCAGAAATAAAAATCATTACTTTTAATCTTTCAAATGTTTGGGCTGATAAGCTGGTGCTGTTCAAATTAAGCTTCCTAAGGCTTTTCATGTCTGAAAAGAAAAGAAACATTTATTGTATAGTAAAATCTCGTTTTCTTACAGTAGGACACCCAATAAATACGGATCATGTGGATAACCACTTACTGGCGAGACACTGGAGGCCCTTGTCGGTAACTGGAGTTTCGCATAAGTTGAGCACCTGAAGTTTGGGTAAATGTTCCGAGATCAAACGCAACCCCGTATCTCCGAACTACAAGACAGGTAAAGGAAAAGTATTAATGATCACATACCATGCAATCTTATTCAAATACTTTAAATAATGTAAAAGAATAGCAGATCAAGTAAAACTAATTCTAATATAACGAACGGTAATTGGCTTAGGTTCGTGAAACTCTGTTCTGCTTGTGGTATTTTGTTTTTATTTCGTTTGCAGAAGGTGATGGTATTTGAATCACTAAAAACATTACTACTTAAATAAAATCTACGGCAATTATCGTTGATTTTCTTAGAGTCTGATTTCTGTAACGTCTGCTTATATTACAATTCAAATACATTTAGTTATTTATTACCTATCATTTATTGACCTAGACTACAATTAATTTTACATGTAGTACGTCACGAAATAGTTATCAGATATAATTTCAATCCTGATTATCCATCTCCATTTTTTAAATTTAATGCAGCAAACCTTCACCAACGGTGAAGATAATCTCGTGAAATGAAATGTAAATAGCAAAACTGTACATGCCTGAACTACTTATTAGTAATAAATAAGAGTATTTTCTTATTAACACGGCCCCCATTATTTAAGCGGAGCCAATGCATGTCGTAAACGTCGCCAAAGGGTCGTCATTCCTAACCAAAAATCTTCAGAGAGAGCCAAGTAAATAGGATTCTTACTAAAGTTGTTTGGTTCTAACCATGATTACGTATAGTCAGCGAGAAAAGCTCTGAGTAGGATTGACACTTTGAAGCAGATCATTAAAGAAGTAATTGTTTAAACTTGTAACTTTAGAGGTTGATGGAAGTTCTTGGATGAAAAATTTTTTTTGATATTACATTGAAAGCTGTCTCGGAAATATTACGGCCATAAACTATATGTGAGAAGTACATGTGTTTGCTATGTAAATTCTTAAATTTTTCTTATTTAAAACTTGTCGTAAAAATAAGAAAGTATCAATATGTTCCCGTGTAGAAATGAAATAAATGACATTCATTCTGCATTTTTGTACACTTTTTATAATTTTAATATTACCAGAACATAAATGCAAATAAAAAAGTTAAGCCAGGACCAGACTACCTCTTCAGAGCACAAGTCATAGGCTTAATGTTCCAGATTTTAGGAAGCTCCGAGATCTCTGCTTCCTCACAAAAACAAGGACATTGCTTATTGGGAGTCACCGAAAGAATTTTATGTTTAGGTCTAAGGCTGGCTCGATCAGGTCCTAGTTCAGTACAAAGAGAGATACCATATGAAACAATGAGTAGTTTTCGGGTAAAGCTTCTTATTTTGAAGTATGATCTAGCTAAAAACATGCCAGAAATGCAAGCGGATGAAGTAAGATCTGCCAATTAGCTCATTATTTCTAAAAACTAAACAGCAGAAACTCTGTAAGATGCCATTCAGCGTTCAATGCCAACAGAGTCATAGTCACTTTCGATTATTCTTCAAAATTTTAAATGCTGATTGGTGATGTAACTCTTTTTGATATTTTAAGGCAGCTGTGCCAACTAAGTTTCTATATTTACTCTCTGTGTAAACTTAGAATCCATATTAGCTAGCATATTATTCGGCCCATTATTGAGTGCACCACAGTCACCCCGAATCTGTTAATGACATATATTACTGCTTTTCATTCTCCTCTGCATTTCATTTGGCTTCCTCTAATGAAAACTTTTGACTGTTGAATTCTACCTTGAAGAGTAAAGGAATTACAACATTATTTTTCACAAAAATGTATCTCATAAAATATTTTTTGTTGCCAAGGAATTATATATTTCACTGATTTCGATATTCGATGTATAGATTGTCTGCTTTTTTGTATACTTAATCATCATAAATACATTAATTTACTAAATATTTATTACATATTTACTAATTTTTCGATATTATATTCTCAACTTTATATGCGTTAAAAATATTTCTACTGCTGTGGAGTATTTTTGCACTTCAAGAAATTTCAAGAAGTGAGATTTATTTAATTAGCTACTCATTTTTATGTTATTCTTTTTGGTCTTTCTATCATTTTCGTCAACCTCACCAGAATGCAGATTTTGTTATGTTTAAGTAGCGAATATAGCAGCTGCATTTCAAGCGTGAGTTGAGAAAGTTAGAGATTTGCGGACCGAAGATCCGGCAACCAGTTGTAGTCATGCATTGCTCATCTAAGAGCTATTCCTGTCGAGGTTTGTAAATGATTTACCTGCTAAAAGGTTTTTGTTCGGCGGAGGACAACAAGGTGGAGACGAAGCTTGTAAGAATAAAGCTGATTAATTTTAATAACTTTGTATTAATCCGAGTCCCCGCAAATAACGGTGGACAATTTTCATTTACCTTGAGTTTTACCATAAAGTAACATTTTTTCTTAGACTTTTGCTAGAAACAAAGTTTCAAACGAAGTTTCAAGCAAACAAAGTTTTGGTAGATTTTTATCTTTCTGTGTTAGCAAAGTTCAGTTTATATATTTAGCAAATTTGTGATATCCTAATTCATTTCAACAGGGTAAGGTTAGGCAATATGAGACATGCTAAGTTAAGCCAAACTTTATAAAGTACGTTCACAAGAACAACACAAATAACCCAAATGGCTAAAATTGATTGCTCACAATGTCGTTAATTAGAAGCATGGTTATTTACACTTTTTCTTGATAAAATAAGTAAGTACCTAGTTGGAACTTCAAAACTTATAGCTAAATAATAATAAATGCAGAAAGTTGCGCGTTGGAAAGTTTGACCTCAGCCATGCTTTACGGTTCTAGTTGCTAAGCACATTTTCGGGAGAAAATTTTGAACAACGTGAGCCATCAACTTGAGCCTTCTCTAAATAATTAAAGTATTATTTCAAAACTCGCCAGAAACAGCGCACTTTGGTGGCCACTACGGTGAACTTTAATCAACTTATTTCAGTTGAACTGATGGCCGATGACCGTCGACTGCATGGCCGGAAGGATGATTCATCGTTTGCGCAGACGTGCAGCGAACAGGGCTTGTGTTCAAGAAAACAACTCTAATCCTAATCCGCCGGGTAGATTAAACCGCGAAAACGGGACAGAGTGAAGGTGAAAACACACGAGTAGCTGAACACAAATGCAGCACCCTTGTACATGACATGTAATTGTAGATCGTTTCCTTCAAAGAAAATGAATAAAAATCATACCTGCGTAGACCAGAGGTTGAGATAGCGCAGCGATGGCAGCTTGATGATCTGTTCCGCGCAGGCACTCGTTACTTGCGTAAAGGCCAAAGATAGGCACTCGAGGTTTCCAAAAGATCCACAGCTCAGCAGTTTCGCCATATCTGCATCCTGAAAAAGAGAAACACCATTAAAAATCTCAGTTTAGAACATCGTATTATAGCCTCCTTTTACTCGCGCATCCCTTGACCTATCATTGCTCCACGTACCCCAACTTCACCCCCATTATCTATAATAATTAACATCTATACCTACAGGTATAATAATAACATTATAACACAGAGACATTTTTATTTTTACCAGTTACACAAAAATGATATACATTGGTAGTTATACACATTTAATTAAATTAAAAATGCATACATAAGAAAATTTAATGGATACTTTGAGGCTCCCATTAAATGTGCTTATGTAGGTACGAAGCGCTGGTTTAGAAGATGATACAATAGTTGGAATAATTATGGATTACACAGTTAAAGACTGCCGAAAATGGAAACAAAAAGTGAATTAGAGGATATACTATACCTTTAACAAATCCGAAAGATAAGCAGCCGATGCGACAATGACGTTATTTGAATAATTTTAAACAATGAAGAGGATATATCACTAAAGGTTATCGAACTAATGAGAAAATGCAAATTTTCAAATGTTTCCGACGAATTACATAGTCAAAATTCACGAAAATCAATAATGTTCATCACAATTTCGCACATAGAACGCTGAAGACCTCGCTATGTTCCTTTAACTCCTGCTATATCTCATGCTGTATGCATATGTAAAACATCTGTATACTCAAACTGGAAAATAGTGATATTAAAAATATAATTTCTTAACCTCTGTTTTAATATTTTTTCAGTTTTTACCACTACCAAAAAAAAACCATATTTTCATACATTTCTAGCTCTCGGTTTTTATTACTGCGTGCACCATATTTCATCAGACAGGCCGAATTAACAATATCATATTGTAGAATAAAATCTGGAACCATTTCGGAATATTCCCAAATCATTTTGATCAAAAACATCTGCTTTTATTTTACATTAGCAGAATAGATGAAACCCCAACCCACCAGAAAGCTTTTGATTACATCCTTTGTATTTAGATTAAATGTCTTTACAGTGTATTGTTAAAGAATACAAAATGTTTAGGCTTATGATTTGGGATTGCGGGAAAATCTTTAATACTTTAATAGCTCCGTCCTTTAGATAACATTTCTTGAGAGAAAATTATTACGAAATGGACACTGTTAAGCTTCCAGACTTATAGAACGATTTTAGAGCTTGTAATTACATCTGTTGAATTTAGTTAACATGTCTTTAGTGTACATTGTTGAAGAATATAAAATTATCAGTTTCCTCTTTCCGGACTTATGGAACTTATCCTTTATAACGACAGTTATAAGATGCAATCAACGATAGTAAATTACAATGATAGTTCAAATGAAAATAGCAGATAATGCAATTTAGCACGATGCATCTTTATTTTAAAGTCTTGCTATGTTGCAAAAAATTCTTATTTATACAAAGGAGAAAAGTACAGTTAATAATTCTATCTAATTTCCTTGCCCTTAGTCTTTAGTGTTTTTTTAACACGATTTACACCAATACGCGTGAATAGTTTGGGTATAAATGCATAAAAACTAGAATTAATGCATATACATCTGGCTGACAATAACGCTATTGAAGTACAAATGTTCCTGCACCTTAAAGATCTTAAGACTATTAGCAAAATATAGAAGTCGCAGCCTCAAAGCTTGCCCTGCAGGAGGCGGCATTTCCTTACAAACAAACCAGTTTCAACGAACAATACAGAAAATGAGGTTTCTTAGAAATTCCAGGAGAGTATATCTTTAAGTAAAAGCGGAAAAGATGCTCCTTAATGGATAAGGCAATTAATGATTATTAGAAGATTAATCTTTCAAGGACGAGTTTTCTGAACAAGTCTAGCCGAACAAAAAATATTGAATGAGACTAGAAAGAAAATTGTTAGTTTTGTTAACTAAACGTTATAAACAATTTAGAAATTACCAATGGTAGATAACGAATCTAATTTTTTTAATGAGAATTAATTTTTAACAACAACATAAAGTTTTTATAGCTTCCTAAAAATTCAAGCGTAAGTAAAAGTGCATGATAATACTTTCTACATCAAAGTTCATTTCGGTAAATTTATGTTAGGAGATGTTAATAGTTTTCTCTTAAGCGCTACACCAACTGTTGTTGTTGTTGTTTAATCAACAAAGCACGAAGATTATCAAATTAATAGGACGCCAGCTTTCGGAAATACCATATCAGTACTAACTCTTTTTGTTATCTCTTTTGGATAATTTATTCAAATTTTCGATAATTATTCCTTAATGCCTCCTACAAATAATATATTGTTACGAAATGTCCAGGCGCGGTAAGATAGGTTCCTCGCAAAGCAGGGTTGCCATAAGATAGCAAGGGAATGTAGGGTTGCCCCATTTGGCGACAAAAATGGAGATGTGCCATGGACGGATGGAGAACCTTCTGGAATGACTTTTTACCGGTTTTGCCCAGAATGTTCTGGAACACAAGCCGAAAGCTATATAAACCCTGCTGGTACGCGGAGAGTCAGTTAGTTAGTCAGTGCCTCATTTAGCGAGTTGATAGTCAGTCATTGAGAGAGTGTCTCGAAGTCTAGCTCCGAGTTGGTCGTCGAGTACATCGAGAAAGTTTTTAGTGTATCGAGAGATAGTGCATCGAGAGTCTTTAGTGTATCGCGAAATAGTACATCGTCGAGTTTTGTCTTAGAGTACGTAGAGTTCCGAGAGTGACCGAGTAGAGAGTCGGGAGCTGTACTCTGGTGCTTTGCAGTGAAGTTGTCTTTACCGTTATTGCCTGATCGTGTGAAGGATATGTCGCTGAGTTTCAGCATGTTTATAATAGTTCGACGACTGTTAACGTATTTTGGAGCTGTCCTAAAAATATTGGCCAATAAAGTATGTTTTGAGATTTCTTTAAGTGCTGTTGTCATCATTCACTCCAAATCCGCACGAACCCCGTACAAACATGAAGTAAAGGAAGGAAAAAAACGCAACATTATAAAATCAGAAACGAATCCTTAAACCTCTCTAAGCATTTTTTAGCTACGCCATTTTCCCGTCATCATAGTGTACTTTTATTGTTTAGATTTCCACTGTGTGTCACCCTCACCAGAGATCGAATAGTTCAGATTGCTGTATATTAAGAGTTCGACCCCAATTTGATCCAAGGCAAACAGGCTGTTGCATGCTTGTTTATGGTGAATATGAGCGAGTTTCTCTTAGAATGACTCCCCTTAGGCAGATAGCCCTAATGTGCTTTGCCGTATTCAAATTACTTTACCTGCCTATCTTCTGTTAGGCGCCATTTCTACTTAATTGCTTTCCACGATTATTTATATAATTCTTGGTGATGCTTATATAGAAAGATATACACTGTGAATCTGAATAAGGGAGCAAAACTTTTTGAGATGATAAAATGCAGCTGTACGAGCAATATTCTAGAATATTGCTCGTACAGCCTCGTTCGGAACTCAAACGGTGAGAAGTTAAAAGGTAGTTTTTCACTGAACAATTACAGAAGATACTTCAGAAAATATTGTTGCGTTTTTCTTTCTTCTGACACCAGTTGTTACGTTATTTTCTTCCTTCACGTTCATACGGGGTTCGTAGATTGAAGTGAACGATACTACTTGATGAAGTATCGAAACACCCTTTATTAGCTCATATTGTCAGGACAGCTCCAAAACACTTTTACAGGCATTGAAGATCTACTATAAACACGCTGACACGATCAGCGACACAGCCTCCAGATTATCAGGCTATCACGGTGCAGACAGCTTCATGGCAAAGCACTAGAGTACAGCTCCCGACTCTGCTTGGTCGTTCTCGGAACTTCACGTACTCTCGAGACATTCCACACTACAACTCGCGATGCAGTCGACGACGCACAGAGTACAGCTCTCGACTCCTCGGTTCAGTCGTTCCTGGAGCTTAACACACTCTCTCGACGATGCACTAACCGCGATACAGTAAGGGACTCTTCGATGCACTCGACGACCCACTCGGCACCCGCTGGCCAGCTGTCAACTCGATCGTCTCCGCACGGACTAACTAGATGAGACACAGTCACTGACTGCGGACCAGCAGAGTTTATATAGCTTTCGGCTTGTGTTCGAGAACATTCTGGGCTAAACCGGTAAGAATTCGTTCCAGAAGGTTCTCCAAACCTCCATGGTATATCGCCAAATGGGCGATTTCTCGCCAAATATGGCAACCCTCCCTTCCTTTGCCATTTTATGGCAATCTTAAAACTGCTTTGCGGTGAAGCCATCTTACCGCGCCTGTACATTTTGTAACAATATTTTATGAACAGGAATATAAATTGATGTACATGTTCAAAGAAACTGCTCAAAAGACCATCCGTCAGCTGTAATGCAGGCTTCACACTTGCGCGACAGAGGCTGGCGCATGTTTGCGAAGACACCAGGCATTTCCCGAGTATCGCCAAAAACAACGACGAACCTGAAGATTAGATCCATGTTCGTTTCAACGGGGTATTCATAGATTAGGCTTTTAGTATGGCCCCACAAGAAAAAGTTCAAACACGAGAGATCCGGTGATCTTGGTGGCCAACTATGGGACCACCTCGACCAATCCTTCGCCGTGGAAATTTCGTGGTTTGTATAATCTACGGTAGAAAATGCCGTTGGGTGAGAGGACCGACACTTTATAACATTTACATTGCCACCTAGCAGCTAGCCGTTTGCGTTCCGCTCAGATTTTGTAAGACGAATATTGCTTATACAGCTGCTTCTATCACCCCATAAAGTTTTGCCTCCTTGTTCAGATTCACTCTATATAATAGTAAAACTAAGTTGTTGATCGGCGATGTTCCACAACTAATTAAAAATATAATGAAATATGTACTCTTATACTATGTTCGTCTTAAAAGGTGCGAACTAACTTCAGTGAATTCTTTCAATCAATTTTCTCTTCTTTTTGCTTTTAAAACAGATGAAGAGTTTTCAGTATTTTGCTGAAAAAGAACTATTATCGTGCGTAAATTTATTTATGCGTCTACAGTACCGACATTAAATATAAATGC